CAGCACTAGCATCTTGCGGGGCTGGCAGGCCTTGGTTGCGTCTGGCACTATTTTTTGCGTCATGTGGAACTACTTGTCTAGGGGTGTGCATTGTATATAATTTGTTTAGTTTTAGTTAAGGTAGTTTAGCATTGCACCATCCATCTTTTTATTAATGTAGTCATCCAGAGCTCCCTGTCAAGCCCTCCCCACACTCTCAGAAATAAAGGTCCAAAAGCTGTCACTGGGGCGGTACCTTTTCAAAAGGTACATGTTTGTACCTAAATGGTCCTTTTGGTACATATTAGTACTTAATAGGTAGAAAAGTGACAGCTTTTGTAACTTTATTTCTGAGAGTGCACAAGTTCCTCACACTGCCCCCCAGAGGTTCCTGCCACTGGTGTCCGAGTCCCAATAAATTAGTTATTCAAGAACGTCGTGCAAGTTTACTGCAACAATGGTGCAATAATGGTACTGTGAATTTCAAATACTTTTGGAAATCCAGCATTTCGTTGATTCTGATAAATAACGATCGTCACAGTTGTCACACAATGACTTTCTTTCTTCTTCCATAAGAGGCTTTGGAGTCAAGAAGAAGAAAAAAGTATGCAATCTGAGAAACAAAAACCAACCGAGTTTAAAAGTAGCCAGATTCTGCAGGGAAACCGTGCACGTGGCAACCCTGGTGGCTGGCTGGTTATTCTGGCTATACATGAAAGAACATTTATTGTTAGTATTATAGCTTGGGAGAGCAGGGGTTTCCCTCCTATTGCCTCTAAAGACCTCATTTAGCACACTTTGTTTAGTAAGACGACATCATATAAAAACTGTTTTGAGAAGCCGCTGGATATTGGATTCGGTGAAACCACTAATCATACTGCGGTTTGCTCTGCTATATGTTTGCCATTTTGTCACACACAAATACAGTAAAGAAAGAGAAAAAAACTCGATGATTGTGCTTTCGGCTGCTTTAGAAGAGGTTCCCACTCTTTTTCACCAACAAATTTCAATGATTTCCACTTGTTCGTCATGGAAAAATTATTCAATAGAGATCACAGTGCTGGATTTACCGGTACAAGTTTATAAAATTAATATAATGAAACAATTAAATGGCTGTTCCCTTTTCCTGTTAACTTTTCCATGGCAATAAGAGCCCTGGCTTGCACTCTTTATACCAACATGCTGTTTTACTTTCTCATAAATTCCTGAATGCTTCTCGTCTTGTTTGATAAAATCTACAAAATATGACTGCAGGTGCTTTTATATTCAGTCCCCGTACATGCCAGAACGTATTATTAAGCATATTTCTGACCTATGAAATGTTCGGGTATATGCTCGCAAGTTGCGATTTTCTTGACTAGTTGTAATGGAGTAACCTGGAGCTGGCCTTTAGGAGTTTTTTAGAGACACCTTCTTATGGGGTATAACGATTGCTGATCGTTTTTGCAGTAAAAAATGCTTTTGGTTTATTTTTAGCTACGTTGCAAAGGATGATCTTCAGATCTCTGTTTTTCTGCTCTTAATCTAAACCATACCCAGCCCTCTCCACTTCTGCCTTCCACAGTTTTGTCCAAACTTGGTCTTGAGAAGTGTGCTGCCAGAACTCTCTGACTCAGCACACGAGAGACAACTTGTGGAACTACTTGGCAAGGGATGTGTACATATTATAAGTTGTAGGTTTAGTTTTAGTGAAGTTAGCCCCTCCAGCACTAGCATCTTGCGGGGCTGGCAGGCCTTGGTTGCGTCTGGCACTATTTTTTGCGTCATGTGGAACTACTTGTCTAGGGGTGTGCATTGTATATAATTTGTTTAGTTTTAGTTAAGGTAGTTTAGCATTGCACCATCCATCTTTTTATTAATGTAGTCATCCAGAGCTCCCTGTCAAGCCCTCCCCACACTCTCAGAAATAAAGGTCCAAAAGCTGTCACTGGGGCGGTACCTTTTCAAAAGGTACATGTTTGTACCTAAATGGTCCTTTTGGTACATATTAGTACTTAATAGGTAGAAAAGTGACAGCTTTTGTAACTTTATTTCTGAGAGTGCACAAGTTCCTCACACTGCCCCCCAGAGGTTCCTGCCACTGGTGTCCGAGTCCCAATAAATTAGTTATTCAAGAACGTCGTGCAAGTTTACTGCAACAATGGTGCAATAATGGTACTGTGAATTTCAAATACTTTTGGAAATCCAGCATTTCGTTGATTCTGATAAATAACGATCGTCACAGTTGTCACACAATGACTTTCTTTCTTCTTCCATAAGAGGCTTTGGAGTCACAACAACCGTTAAAGAATGTGACACACACTTCTCCCGTAAATCCTGTAGAATTAATCCAACCAGATGACGACTTCGAAACTCCTGAAGTGTCTTCTATTTTGTGTGTCTTATGCATCAGACGTTCAGCCAGCGGTTCGTGGGCGTCACGTCTGAGGCTGAGACTACACTAATGGCGCTTTTCCACTGCATGGTACGGCTCGGTACGGTTCACTTTTGGGGGGGTTTCCACTGGGGACTTCCACAGTTTTGTCCAAACTTGGTCTTGAGAAGTGTGCTGCCAGCACTCTCTGACTCAGCACAAGAGAGATCTGCTTCTGTATGCATGCCTCTGGATCTCCCAGCGGATCTTTCCGACGTTTCACAACTAGTGACCCAGCTGAAATGACCATTAATTTCCATGCTAGTCTAGCTGAAAGTGCGGTGTAAGCATGCCGCTCACTAGCATACTTTATCTTCCTGGTGCTTTAAAAGTAAAGTGCTGCGTTCATGAAAATATTAAGGAATAAAAAATAAATTTCTAAAGATAAATTCCTAAGTTCTCAAATATTATTTATCTAGCTAAGCAACCAAGGAACTTTCTACAGAGTTTTAAGACACGCCTATTAACTCACGATTGGATACTTTAGCCTTAAAACCATCTGGGCCTCTTCAGTCACTTTTAACCGAAAAATTTTACAATTAGAATTTTTTTTAATTTTTAGCTTCTTCAAAATGAAATGATACATGGCGACTTTTGTTGCATTTAGCTATGTGAACACACTCAAAAAATCATGAACATGATTCGGATGTGTTAAAGGGTCGAAAAATAAAATGCAACACTTATGACCTGGCATAGGAAAAAAATGAATTAATTTCTTAATTGACTCAGAAATCGAATTCTGAGTCAATGCATCATAGATCATAATCGTTTAACAGTTTTAAATTATTCGTGAAATGAGAGTAATAAAAGCATTAAAAAATAATAAACTATACAAACTATACATATCGACAGTGGAGGGATATCTCATTGTGAACATTAATCATTGGCAGAAACCTGTAATCTGTAATCTCAATTCATTTGATCATTTTTTATTACACTGTTAATCACTAATTGTTGAGAAGAAAACATCTCAGTATGAAGTACATACCGTTTTAACATGACCCGACCTGAAACATTCACTGAGTCAAGCTTGGCAGAACTGATGGAGAGTCCGAGGGTTTGCTGCAATATTAACCACTGAGTCATATTATTTCCCATGTAGGAATTGCAACAGCCGTCGTTGTGGTTGGAGATCGTGAGGGATAGAGAAAAAGTAGAACGTGAAAAGCAACTGAAATGCAGTACTAGTTCTGGTTCTGATTATGAAGAGGCCACTGAGCGAGAGCCATGCATCAGAACTGCAGTTTGACCTTGACAGCTGAAAACACAAACCCCACACATTTTACTCACGAACCTCTCAGCTGGGTGAAATTTCTACAAAAAACATGCCCATTTTAAGCATGGAAACTTATGCATGAAGTGCTTTAAAGAAAGAAGCCAACGGCAGCTAAAGTGGAAGGTTTTAATGTTGGTCACTTATGCAGAGTGTGTCTGATAAGCAAAAGCACACGGGCTTGTGCCAATGAAAACAGCAAATGGTTATTTGGCAATAGTTTGGAAACGCATCCACAGGAGCTCTGGGAGACGCTAACACAGTGAACAAATGTAACAATCTGTTACTCAGCCTGATGTGATTCCAAAGTTTGCATGGCTTTCTTCCGTGGAACTGTTTAGTAAAGGGGTGTCCAAACCTCCAATGGGAGGGCCACTATCTTGCGGCGTTTGGCTCCTGTCCTAATTAAACACACCTGAATTAGCTAATCAAGGTCTTCATGTGAGAACCAGCGATGCTTGATGCAACGTGTCTTGATGTGTCATATTTAAAGATTAAAGATATTTGAGAGCTATGGCAGAGGAAACGCGTTTTTCCATTCCAATGCGCTACCATTGTTTTCTATGTAAACACTCTAGATGGACGTGTTTGCTGTTTTTCAAAGTGTTGATTTTTTGGCAAATTGCATGGAAACCAATGGGGTTCAATTTGACCCCTATTACAAATAACTGAGCGGTAACCAAAATTTGTTCAGCGTTTCCAAAACACATCTGCGTGTCGAAACTTTGCATGCACATTCATGACTGTAAATGAGAAACAATAACACAAAACTTCGAGAATAAATAAATAGTTAAACCAGTCAGATTATCAAGCAGTTTTGAAAATGGAATATGAGTCAAACTGACCTGCAACACAATATTGCCTTCAGTTTTGGTCTGATCCTCACACAGTGTTATTGTATGGCTTCACAGAACTCCGACTGCAGCACACAAGTCATATGGACTATTTTTATAATACTTTCATGCTGCTTTTTAGTAGCTTAACTGCATCTGGCCAGCATGAGCATTATTCCTTTGTGTTCCACAGAAGAAAGTCAGAAGGGCTTGGAATGACATAATATTCCTTTAAAATGACTATAAGTACCTGTTTTCAGTTTTCGCGTTTCGCTTTTCAGTTCAGATGTCATTATGTTGAAAAAATGATCTGTTAGCATTCAAATTATTTACAGAAGGTTCTTAGTACAACAAAGTAATGTGTTACACGTTTCTAAAACCCACACAATATATCATTCATAAGAAACTAGAAAAACGAACATTTCTCATTTTTTACAGAATTTACAAAAGCCTCGCAACTTAACGAAAAGACAAAAAAAAAAGCATATCTACTTTACTATTCTGGTTTCGTTTTACATGAAGTCATCCAAACGATCAAAATAAATCTAGTTTAAATCACATACTGTACGCAAATATGCAAACGCAGTTAGAATCGCTTGGCCAACGCATTTCAACCATGTGGAGCTATTGTACATAACGTGTGTTTTTGCAGTACTGTGGCGGTAACGAACATCAGTACTCAAGGGGGAGTGATAGAGTTATCTAGAAACGTCTGCGCCATTAAACCAATTTTTTTCAGCTAGCTAGATTTGTGACAGAAAACATGCTGAATAGATAAAAGATGGTGGTATGTGTGGCCTCATTTAGCAATATTCTCTTCAAATGATTGTTTTACCGAGTGAACGAGAAAACTGTCCGTAGAGTTTCTTCTAAGAATGCAATGCATATTTGTGACAGAAATTGTGTTCGGACTCATTTAGAAAAGCCATTACGTGTCTGATTACATTCACATACAACACGGATACAGCATAATTTTGCTCAGAGCCAATCAAATGCAGTTTTCCATTCCTACAGTCTCTTTTTCTTTAGTTTACGGCAAAGATGAAGCTAGGTTTGGTGATGGAAGCTAGAAAAAAAAACCACACGTCTTGGCTTCTTAGCTAAAGAATAAACACCGTCCCAAACGTTCTGAATAAATGAATACCATTTCCATTTTCCACATGGCTCGAGACATTCTTCCTGGCCTTTTTGAGCACCTCAGTTCACCACAGCTTTCAGAAAAATAAATTGTTGGTGTGCCACTGGAATTTAGGTGAACAGATGTTCTTCTGGAACATGTTGTTTTGTCTATTCTGTTATCTTGCGTTTCAAACTTTCTTCTTAAAGCAACACTAGAATTGCTCAGTACGAATGTTAGGAAGGCTGTCTAACCTAGGAATAAGCGATGCTCTATTTCAGTATTTGTTAACAAACTACAGAACGTGAGTCCAGGATAAAGTTGAGCAGGGACTGAAAAAGAAGTTTCAGTTTGTTATTCTCATTTTCCACTTCACCAAGCTGAATCCTCAAGGATAACCTGTGTGTGTGTGTGTGTGTTTGGGTTTACGAGTGTGTGTGTGTGCTTAGACCAGTTCCACTTTGGAGTTGGGATACACTGCCACCACGTCATATCCCTCCGGAGGCTGCACACGGGCCTTGGCGTGCGTCTCGCAATACAGATTCTCATCGATGAAGAAGTATCCTCTCTGCTTTAGATTCAGCCCACAGTCATCACACACGAAGCAGTCGGGGTGATAGAGCTTGTCTCTGGCCTTCACGATGGTTCCCCTGCGTTATAAGACAGTTCTTAAATGTCATTTATTGTACCTTACTCTTCTGGGATTTTATTGTCAATGGCAGATAATAGTGTACAAAAGGACAAATCTTATAAGGAGACACTTTTAAGGACTTTAATATTCATGTTTATAAATAAATGTTTCATTCAAATTTCAACACAATTTGGAGCATCCAACTATATTTTCCTTACAAGTTTTCAACTATATTTTCAATGTAAAAAGGTTCTTTCTAAGAACCAAAATAATATATTAGGTGAACATTGTTCAATTTGATTGCTATGGTGAACTTGTGTGTAAAAAATACCGTGCATCCTCTCATTAGTTTTTCTCATTAGTTTTGGTTTAAACCATAAATTTTGATTTCAAAATTTTTAATCAAATATATTTCTTTTTCAAAAACTTCCAAAAAACAAACAAACAAAAAAGAACAGTTAGAGACCATACTTAATATATTTTCTTTAGACACAAGAAATATATTTTTGTCCTTAATTTCACCATGAACAAACACAGAATTAGCTATAATATGATATTAGTAGAGTACTTTATATGATATAAAGTAGAGCTTTCACGTAAGATAAAATGAAAACATTGTGATAGTCAATGTTTTATTTAATTTAGTTTACTTAGTATAAATAAAGACAGTTCAAACAACCTTAAAATTTACTGTGATTTCTTTTTAAAATATGCATCTTATTTTTTGTCATGCACTAACAACAACAAACCTGGTTTCTTTTAATATTTTTCTATGAGGAAGTGTTATTTATTTTATCTTTTTTTTTTGCACTACACCCATTATATCTGCACTATTTGTTTATTTCACAGGTTTGCACTCTATCTGCCATGTGCCTTGTGCTACTTTATCTGTTTTGAAATTTTTCTGTATTTATTTGTATTTTTACATTCTACCGTTAGTGTTTAGTGTTATCTGTATGCACCAAGGGTCTGAGAGTAACGCAATTTCAATTCTCTGCATGTGCAGTACATGTGGCAGAACTGACATTAAAGCAGACTTTGACTTGGACTTGTTTGCTTTTAGAGAAACTGAACAAAACTGGTTTAAACCAGAAAACTAATCCAATACTACAGACTTCTATGGATAGACTCGTTTAAAAAAGGCTGTATGATAATATGGCTTTCTAAAGCAGGACTGGCCAGATAATGTTTGATCAGTAATGGAGTAAACTGTAAATTCCTGGCTAATCTTACCCGACCTAGATATAAAACAGAAACAGAAAGCTACTGTTCTGGACAAATGTCTGTTATGTGACCCTGATGGCTGATTGGATCCATATCACTAACCCAGCTCACAGGGCAAGTACAAGGTTCTCCCGCACATTATGAACACATGTTCCTGCAGTAACATTAATTGAACATTTGTTCAGTTATCTGGTCTTTAATGATGTTCTTAAAATGTCAGCACAAAAACATTATTTATACATTGTTCATGGAACATTTCTGAAATGTTTTAGTTGGATGTTCGTCTAGCATTTTTTAAATGTTACTACTTGTTTTAGAATGTTTAGAGAACATTCAAAAATAACATTCCCATAATGTCGCAAAATATCAAATTTAATGTTCCCTTAATGTTCACATAAACGTTTCTAAAACATTTTAAAATCTGGACATTTTGTACGTTCAGAGAACATTCAGAAATAATGTTTTTATAACTTTTTTGTTAGCTGGGGATCAACTTTCTATTATTAATCTCAATGAACAGTTCCATATTTGGAGGCTATAATATCTGTCAACAGCATTTACAAGGAACCCATTGTTTCACTCTTCTGTGGAACTTCCTTATCATGTGACCTCATTGTTTACTCATTTTTAATAGAAACTGTGGGAAAGTGCCAACAGCGGTAGAGTGACTTACAGTAATATCTGGATCACCTGTGCAGCGAGAGGAACACATGCTGCGGCAGGTCAGCTTCATTTAAAGGATTAGTTCACTTCCAGAATAAACATGTCCTGATAATTTTCTCTCCCCCATGTCTTCCGAGATGTTCATGTCTTTCTGTCTTCAGTCGCAAAGAAATTAAGGATTTTTCTCCATATAATGGACTTCAACGGTCGCCAACGGGCTGAAGGTCCAAATCACAGTTTCAGTGCAGCTTCAAAGAGCTCTACACGATCCCAGACGAGGAATAAGGGTCTTATCTAGCGAAACCATCTGTCATTTTCTTTAAAAAAATTATCTAACGATAAGACTCTTATTCCTCGGCTGGGATCATGTAGAGCTCTTTGAAGCTGCAGTAAAACTGCAGTTTGGACCTTCTGCCCGTTGGTCCCCATTGAAGTCCATTATATGGAGAAAAATCCTGGAATGTTTTCCTCCAAAATCTTAATTTCTTTGCGACTGAATAAAGAAAGACATGAACATTTTGGATTACATGGGGGTGAGTAAATTATCATGGAATTTTTATTCTGGAAGTGAACTAATCCTTTAACAATTACACACTCTGTGAACGTGCCACTATTCTTGTGCACTGTTACAGTCATTCACTGACAGCAAGTTAAGGCTCGTAGGTTCATGTTCAAACAGGGGTGGATTTAGTGATTTGGGGGCCTCATGTTGTAGAGCAGGGGTTCCCAATCACATTCCTGGAGCCCCCCCCCCCCCCCCCCACCCCCAATATTTTTTTTT